GGAGCCCGATGCGGGACTCGATCCCGGGACTCCAGGATCATGACCTGAGCCGAAGGCAGTCGCTTAACCAACTGAGCCACCCAGGCGCCCCAACCCCCTATTTTTATCAGTGGCTCAGACCAGCTCTGATGTTTCCATTTTAAAAGTTGATTTAATTTTTTTTTATATTAGAAAAGTAATACAGGCTCAGTGCATCAACCAGTGAATGGATAAACGGAACGAGGCACACCCATCCGGTGGACTCAGCCGTAAGAACAACGCGGTCCTGCCACGCTGCCGCACAGATGGGCCTTGAGCACACGGCGCCCGGGGAAAGTGGCCAGACAGAAGAGGGCACACACCACGTGATACCCTTTAAAGGACGTGTGTCCAGAGCAGGGAAATCTGTGGAGATGAGAGCACATGGGTGGGTGCCAGGGTCCGGCAGCTGGGGGTGCGGGGAGCGAGTGCTTGGTGAGTACGGGGCCTCCACGTGGGGCGATATTTGCACAACACTGTGAGTGTACCAAGTGCCACTGCATTGTTCACCTTCAAACGGCTAATTCTGTGTAAGGTAGATTTCACCTGAATAAAAAAAGAAATAGTACTACAGGCTTAGGATTTGTAAAATGCATAAAAATAGAAGAAAAGCATGACCAGTGGGGCGCCTGGGTGGCTCAGTCGGTGAAGCGTCTGCCTTCAGCTCAGGTCGTGGTCTCAGGGTCCTTGGATCAAGTCCTGCATCGGGCTCCGTGCTCCGTGGGAGTCTGCTTCTCCCTCTCCCTCTGCCCCTCCCCCTGCTTGTGCTCTCTCTCTGTGTCAAATAAATAAACAAAATCTTAAAAAAAAGAGAGAGAGAAAAGCATGACCATCAAGGATGGCCGTCCGCAGGCGGTCACTAATAAGGTGTTGGTGTTGCTGTTCTTGACTGGGATGCGGTCCCACAACTTCCCACCTCTCCTTGCAGACCGGCATTTTGTCGCAGACCCTGCTGCCTACCCGAACGGCGGGGCATTTCCCCACACCGCCGCCCTGCGCAGAGGCCACAGGCCCCACGGAGCATGTTCACATGGTTCACGGGGGCCAAACCGTGAAAGTGGAACCGGAAACTCACTTTCCCTTCTTAATGGTGTTCCTGCCGAGCAGTGGGTCCAGCACAGGGTCCACGGTTTCGCCAATGTTCTCGATGAGCAAGATGTCCCCTTCGGAAATGGCCTGCTCAATGATGTCCAGGTAGCTGTGGGCACGACATGGGGCCAGGTAAGGACGTGGGCCCAGAGAGGGCACCGCCGGGTGCCCCAGAGGCAGCCCTTGGAGCGAGAAGGCACCAGAAGACAAGTGGCCGAGGGGCCAGGAGCTCCTTCCCTGCGGGGAGCTCTGGGGCACCTGTGGTCCTCTCCCCTAGGAGCCCACGGGAGTGCAGCCCCCTTATGGCGGCAGCCCTAGATGTTTTCACACCTGTGTCTGGTCCCAGGTGCCCGGGGCACCAGGAAGGCACGCGGGGTGGCCTTAGTGACCACCTGTGTTGAGGAAATGCGTCCCACTAGAGACGAGAAATGCGAAAATGCCTGGCCTGAAGCCTTGTGGCCGGCAAGTGGCCAGGTGGGACTCGAGCCTGGGTGAGCAGCAGGTAGTGGGGGGTGGGGGAGAGAAGAGCCCCGAGGTTAATGCTTTACTGCTGGTGCTGTCCCCCAAAACCAAATAGCGGAAAACAAATCCACCTGTGAGCCAGGAACTGTCCATAAAGACCCGCCCGCCCGTCTAACCTCAGGTGTGTTTGCAAGCCCAGGGGCCCAGCCAGCCAGAGGCTGCCTTCCGAGCCCCTCCCCACACCCCGGCCCCGCCTGCCGCCGTCACCCACCTCTTCTGTCCCAGGCGGATGGCTTTCAGTTCACTGCCATATTTGTTTTTGATCCACTTGATTCCTTGCAGCTGGGCATCCACGATGAGGGGCCAGCGCTCCGTGTTGCACAGGATGGTGGCATTCTCAGTGGACATGCGGTCGCTGGGGAGGCCCTGGTTGTTCCAAGTGGCCACGTCTGCGTCATCCGTCAGCAGGCTCAAGGGGTCCAGACCTTCCGTGATCGGGATGGGGACCTGCCAAGAGGAAGTGCTCCGTCTTAGGAGGGGCGGGTGATGTGGCCATACTGCTCCAAGGGAAACAGCTCTCCCAAGTGACACGGCGGGGCCGTGGTTAGACCACGGGGGAGCCGTGTGGTCTGGAAGACCACCACTCCCAGCGCCCTGATGGAACACCTTGGAACCTCCCAGGAAGGGCATCCGCGTCGGCCAAGCTGGGCCACAGTTTAAACCCGCAGTGGCCAGAGCGTCCGTGTGTGTGACGTTTGGCTGGGTCTGCCCCACCCCAGGGACCTCCCCAGATTTCCTGACTGATGAATGCAACCAAACCTCTTACCTTTAACTGATTTATATAAGGGACCCAAAATTTCTCCATCAGCTCATTTCGGTATTTCTTGGTGAAGTAGCCCACGTAGGATACGAAGGCGGAAATCAGCAGGACGTCCCCACACAGAGTGACCCCCTGGCTTTTGAAGTTCTTCACCGATTCAGCCCAGCGCACATTCTCCGATGCTAATCCCCCTACCAGCCTAAATGTGAACACGAGGTCAGCGGGGGTCAAAGGAATGATGGAGGGTCGCACCCAAAGACCAGCAAGCAGCCTCCACCTCTCAGTGCCAGGAGTCTGGCGTTTGCAAATCCTGCCTTTGCTCTGTGCTTCAACATGGAAATGCTTTGGGGGAAATTCTTGGGAATCACTGCATTAGGGAAGCAAAACTAACGCTTTCTGGAGGCACCTGGGGCCTGAGCTCCCCTGCCCCAGCCGCCTGCTCTGATGTCACCTCTGTGCTGACCTTATCTGAACATTTCGCCCACGCCAAGGCTGCTGCCGGGACACCACTGAGCTCAGGCTTTGGCTAGTGGGAGGTCTCGGTAAAGGTGGAGTCCGGGTGGTGGCCACAGTGGCCACAGGACAACATGGCATCCAGAGGGCACCCGGCCCCACGTGGAGCAGGGACTGCAGCGTGGGCATCATGCAGTTCAGGCCACGAGCCTGAGAACTGGCCCCTGGCCCCAGATGTGACATCATCGGTCTGCGATGTTTGTAGAAAGCACAGTTTGCCTGATTAGGTCCACTGAGGTCTGTGAGCATCACCCGAGGAGCCCTTGCTTCCCGAAGACCAAAAGACGACTTTGCTATTCTGGGCGGGGATGATCTAGTCCCTCAAACCTGGGACGACGTCCGCACCCTGCTGGAGGCCGTTGTCACACGGCCTGGGGACCTCCCAGGATCCCTGTGTCTCACTGACAAACTGTCAGCAGTTGCCAGCCCGCCGGGTAGGAGAATGTTCGACCAGAAGCCATGCCCTAGGACCCACTCCACCTGCGGCTCTGTGCCAGGCTCCCAGTGCTCACTTTTGGAACCTCGAAAAGACAGCTCTGAAGCCTCGCTGTCCATGCGTGTAGTGAGCACCCGAGGCGTGGATGGTCTGAATTGGGATGTGCATGGGGATTTCCAGGACTCAGAGTGAAAACGTGCACGAACCCCCTCAGTGATCCTTCTCACAGCGATCACATATTGAAATGATCACATTTGGGGTTCACTAAGATACGTTATCAAGATTGGTTTCATCTTTGTATGGTACTGCGGGGGCAACAGGACATTGTAGAATGATGGGTGTGGCTCGAGCCACATTCCCGCCGGGACAGCGCTGCCCTGGAGTCCACGGGCATCAACAGACATGAAGCCCCACGCTGGTGGAGGCCCCGGAAGGCCGTACCAACAGCACAGCGCGGTGGGAGCGGGTAGAGGGGGATCTGCCCGAGTGGGCCCTTGTGGACACCGCCTCCCAGGCAGGTGTGGGCAGGTCTGGGTTGGGGGGCTTCCTCTCAGCCAAAGGTCCCGGGATGCGCGGGCGCCCACCACGGAGGGCTTCCAGCTCCCAGAGGTGGAGACACTGGCTGACAGCAAGTCACTGGGTCATCCTCATGACTTTGCGCAAGCAGGGTACTGCTGCCTCCACCCCGGGCCGTTCCTCCTCCTCCAGGGGCTGCTCTGCGGGCCCGGCCCTTCTGCGGGGCTGAGAAGGCAGGAGGGGTGCCCGCAGGGCGGAGCGAGCTACCTGTTGGCCAGCGAGATCACCCTGTTGGTGGCGTCGGCCTCTTGTTGGCACTTGATCTTCTCTGCTGTTGCCTTTTCAAAAGCCGACGTGAGGTTGCTCAGGTTGGCATTGAGTTCCTGGGCAAACACGGAGAGGCCCAGCAGTGGGGCGGGGCCTCTGGGGCTGGGCGATCGGTCCCTGCGGCTGCCTGGGCTCCTCGCTCTGCTGAGTGATCCCGGGCAGCCCCCGCTCTATGGGACCCCGACCCGCGGCTCTGGTGCTCTCCTCGGTGCGGGCGGGCGGGCACTTACCGCAATCTTGTTTTTGATCCGCGAGAGCTTCTCCTGCGCCTCAGCCAGCTCGGCGTTAGCCTCCTCCAGGGCCTGCCTCTTGGGGGCCACGTCGCAGTACACCTCGTAGAAGCGGACGATGTTGATGCACCAGGAGCATAGGCCCGCGGCCGCCGTGGACTTGGAGCGGATGAACTCGGGGTCGAAGGTCGGGTTGCCTTGGTAGGGCCTGCAGAGGGGACAGCGGGCGCTGGGGCGGGCTCCGCAGGCCTCCCCCGCGTCTCCCCCTCCGGCCTTCAGCGCGCCCCGGTCCGCAGCTCTGGGCCGCTCGCCACAAGCAGTTACGAGGGGAGCGCAGTGAATTGGGGCTTTTTGGGAGGGGGATATCTTCAAGATGAAGAAAAGAATGAAACACAGAATTCTGGCCCCAGAAGCGGAATTTGGGGTGTGAGGCGAATGGCCCTGTGCTCTAGACGATGGCGGGAAACCAGCATTCCTTGTCCTCTCTGTTCCCGGAGTTTCTATAGCTGGTCCAGTTTTCATTCTCCAAAGACCCCACCCATAAGCAAGAAAACTGGGGTTCGGAGGGGCTCAGCAACTTGCCCCAAGTACCACGGACAGGAAGCAGTAGTTCTGCCTGGGGCCGGGGGTCAGGCGCTGTCCCGAGAGCTCCCGCCGTGGCACACATCGTCACCGCATGTCGCTCTGGGGCGAGAGGCCCAGAGAGGCTGAGCATCTCTCCCAACATGACCCAGCTGGGGGGCGGGGGGCAGTGCTGACATGCACCCAGGACCCACACCCCCAGAGACCCCCACCTCCCCCTCCACGGCGTCACCTCCGCTCCCCGGGACACCACGGCCTGGGCGTGCCGAGGAAAATTGCCCGGAGGTGCACTTTAGAAACCAGTATGTTAAAAATGACAACAATGTCGTGAAGCATAACACACTGCACTATCTGCAGAAAGAATTTCCAGTGCGTGATTCAAGAGAATGACCGAAAAGTGGAGCACGGCCCATCTCCTCCCTCTGGTTTACTTCACGCTTTGTTTAGGTCGATGTTAGGACGGGTTTGCCTCTCTCGGCCCACGTCAGGCACGTGGGGGCGGCCGTCCGGGAGCTGGCGGAACCCTCCACCGTGCACGCGGAGCCACGGACACGCCGGTCCGTCTGCCACGGGATTGTCCGACAGCTACAGGTCAGGCTGCTGACGTAGCAGGAGAACGTTGTTCTCTCCCCCCAGGTTGTCTAGACGGCGCCCCGACAGTCCTGTGTACGTACAGTATCGTTTCAGCTGCGCAGAGACCAACGCAGCAAGGAGGCCCCTCGGCGTCTGGTCCCACGCACACCCCGCAGCAACACTGCCCACCCGCTGTGCGTGTCCCTCCAGACGTGGCGCGCTTAAGGTGACCGCAACGGAAAGAAGCCACGCCTGATGGAGCCCGCGCCGGCGGGTGCTCACGGCACACGTGTGCACGCGTGTACATGTACGGCGTGTGTATGCGTGCGTGCATCACCCATGCTCATGCGCACACCTGCTCTTGCCTCGGGGGGGGCACTGGTGGCCTCCCTCGTGGGCCCGCAGCTCCCAGCGTCCTGATGGCCGCGTTGCTAGACCCTCCCGTGTGCTGTGTGGGGAAGGGGTGCCTAGACTTTGAGCCATGGGGCTGCCCGCCTGCCCTGATCCTTCAGGTGGGGGAGGCAGAGAGCGATGCAGCCGGGGACACGCTTCCCCTGGACACCTGGACTCCGGTGCAGCCAGATCTCCCCAGGCCGCTGCCGCCCCCCGTCTCTGGGGTCCCACCTTGCTCCCTTGCCCGCCCTGGCGAGCACAGGCTGCCCTTGGGAACGGGCCGCCGGCTGGGACGGGCTGGAGAGGACCGGGGGACCGCGCAGCGCCGGGACGTACCGCGCTCCCGACAGAGCAAGAAGCCAACGGAAGCCCGCGGCGCGGCCCAGCGCGGACTCACTTAAATGCTTTCAGGCAGGCCTCGGGGATGTGCTCCTTGTCAAACTTTTTCAAGGAGTCCAGGAAGGTGTCCACTTTGCCCATCATGATTTTCGCAGCTTTCCAGCTCTTATCCTTGGGGATCTTGCCCCCGGGCGCGGTCAGGATCATGACGGCAGCCGTGACGTTGACCACGGCATCCGGGGGGGACCCGAAGGACTTCAGCTCTGTCAGGTTGTTCTGCAAATGACAGGAAGCAGCTGGGAGGGGACGTAGCCCTGCACGCCGGACCCAGAGGCCCCATGGCAACTGCGGGAAGCTGCCGAGAGCCTGCGGGCCCCCTGCGCCAATGCCAAGGCTTTCTCCCCCCCCCCCCCCCCGGGGCCGGTCCTGTTTCTTTCTTTCCCGCCCTCACCTTATTCAGAGTGTCGAGAGCTTCCTGCGCGGCCAGGAGGGCTGGCTCGGCCTTGGCCAGGTCCGTTTCACAAGCTTTTTGTTTCTCTGTGACATTCTGGAAGGAAGCCACGCAGGAAAGATCAATGTGGGGTGGGGGGAGGGGGGCTGCGCGCAAGTGTGTGTGCACGTGCGTGTGAGTGTGTGCGTGTGTACATGGAGCCCTGGGCAGCAGCGAGGGAGCACGGACAGGAGTGAGGAGGGTGGCCTTCCGCCCGAAGCCCAGGCACAGAGGCATGTCCCCCATGGTGCGTCCCCCATGGTGCATCCCCCATGGCAGCAGCAGGGCTGTGTCCCGTGCTCCCCTTCATGCCCCGAGGTCTCCACCTACTGCCTGGATCCCGCCTTTCTCCTCCCTGCCACCCAACACTCAGGTTGGAAGAAGCCGTGCTGGGGCCGCAGACTTGGGATTCTGGAATGGGAACCGGTCCTTCTATGGGCCCAGCTCCCAGGACTGGAAGGAAAACCTGGGGCCACGTGGACCCCACACCGCTGGCTCTGAGGCCTTATGGTCTCTTGGTGCCATTGTGTAATCTGTCCAAAATGGAGCACAATCGGAGGTAGAGCTCACCCTCCCCTTAAGAAAGTGAGAGCATCTTCATGCATGCACGCATTCCCTCTTGGGGTCCCGAAGAACCCCTCTGAGCCTCTGGATGCCAAGCACAGAGACCAGTAACAACTTGGTATCTATCAATGAGGAAGAGCCTCAGGGATGAAGCCAGGAGGGGCTGGGGGGTTTTGCTGGGCTCAGAGGAGGGAGGACGGAAGGGACAGGGTCTCTGCAAAGCACCATGTGGAGGGTCCATCCAGCCGCCGACTTTAAGGACAGCGTGGGGCCTGACTGCAGGAATGGGCACAGAAGGTGCGGACGTGGCTGGCTTCTTCCCTGGAGCCCCCCCTTCAGGGGGCCGTTTCCAGATACAGGGGTTGGAGAGGGATGGGCGCCCAGACGTTAACAGCTGTGTGTGGCATCAGATGGCAGGTCACAGTTTGGGGTGTGGATGTGGGTCCCGGCTCAGATCCTGACTCCGCCGCTGGCTAGCTGCTGACCACCCTGGGCCTCTGAGGGTAGGGTGTGCGGGTTACAAAGAGGAATGGAGGGGGCTCCTGCCACCCTGCCTGGCCCGCATTCTCCTCCAGCACCTGGTGGCAGCGTCAGGCCCCTCCTCCTAGAAACCACTTGCTACCATGCCATGCTGCATCTCAAGAGAGAGCAGGCAATTCCTGGAACGCTCTTCATTTAAACACTCACGCAGGTGCATGTCTGGGGGCATCAAAGGCATGCAGGGAGGGGTGGAGAGAAAGCCGTTTGGCGAGGTGCCCCCCCAGCCCCGGGGCCAGACACATCAGCACCTCCGGGGGCTCCCGATGCAGCGGGTCTGAGGACCAGGGCTCCAGTCCGAGGCGGGCTTCTCAACCCTTAATGTGCTGGTGGGTCACGGGCATCTTGTTAAAATGCAGACCCGAGAACCTGCATTTCTCACCAGCTCCTGGCAATGCTGCCACCGCGCCCTGGGCACTGCACTTGGAGGAGCCCGGCTCCGGGACGGACGTTTCTCTAAAGGACAGCCCTCCTCTGAGCCGGGGGCCTCGTGAGTGGGAGCAGGGGCTCCTGCAAGTTTGGGAGAACCTCCCAGCCTTTGCCTGGGCCCGGAGGAGGTACCAAGTGCTCCGGGGAAGGAGGCCCGGCCCGGCAAACCCACGAGTGGCTTGGGAGCCGTGCTTGTCCGCACCTTGTTGATGACCTCCACCTTGGCCTCTTCCTCGTCGGCGATGGCTTTCTCTTTGCTGACCTTCTCGGTTTCCACGCCCACCACGTGGATCAGCTTGTCCGCATTCTCATTTTTCTGCTTGAGTTCGGCCTCCTGAATCGCCAGCGTGGCTTTTAAATCATCCACCTGGGGGAGGAGATACCCAGGATGGGCAGGCGTGGGCCCTGGCCGCCACGCACAGGCTGGTGGGGCGGCACCAAAAGTTTGGGGCCGGGGCCAGGCTGCCCGTGGTCGTGCCAGGCGGGAGGGAGTGCGGGGAAGGAGTGAGTGATAGGGTAGGCTATGCCGCCCCATTCTTGATGGTTTCTCCCACGAGGAGGCCCCTCAGTCGCTGTAACAGGACCATGTGTGGAAGGTTCATCTGGGAGAAAAGAAGCAGCCTGCTTGGCTGGGCTCCTCCCTATTCTTTTCTGTGCCATCTCTCTGGGTGGGAGCACTCCTGCTTGGCCCCTCCAAGCTCTGTCTTCCTGGGACACCCCCTGCCATCCTCCCCCCTCCACGCCCCACAGGGGTGGCCTTGACCCTTGCCACACCGCCTGTGGTGGGGGCAAGCTGGCCTGGCTCTGGCTCATGGGCTCGGTCTCCCTGGGGGCAGAGGCGGGGCGGCCCCAGCTGTGCGGGGTCACACCTGGGCAGAGAAGCGGGGGCGGGGCTGTTTTCCGGGCTCCCTCGGGAACACCAACAGTGGGCAGTGAAGGTGATGGGACCGGGGCTACATGAGGGAGGGCACCTAAAGCCAGGCAGAAAACTGGATGGCAAAAGCCTTTCCATCTGGGCACCACAGCGTGCAAGGCATCTGGGAATGGACGCGTGGCCACGGACGCCCTAGACCCGATGCACAAATCCCGCTGGACTTGGGCCCCCACGTAAAGCGCCCGACACAATGACAACATTGCCAAAGCATGTTGAACCCACACGTTCTCTGTGGTTTGAGAACGGAAGTGTCTCCAAGGCAGGAGTCCTGTTTCTCTTGCTTAGGGGACGGTTCTGGGACCTGCCGGCAGAGCCTCTGCCTTCCCTACCTGGGACGCCGTGCTCTGCAGCTTCGTCAGACCATTCTCCAGCCTCTCAATCTTGGCCACCAGCTCCATTCTCTTCTTGGCCAGCAGGTTCTGGTAAAGTTTGATCTGCTCCAGGAAGGTTTTGGGTGTGGTGTAATTGGAGCGCCTCTCCGTGGCCAAGTACAACTTGGACATCTCGTTGACCGTTGTGTGCACGTAGGACATGAAGAGGCTGATGGAGGCCTTGACTTCTGGCTGCAAAGGCGACAGGGGGCCCCTCGTTCCTGGTTCCCTGGCGGGAGGGAGCGACCCCACTCCCGCGGGGAGGAGGAGGCTGCTGGCCACCGCGATTCAGCAGGGCGGGTTTCCCGTCCTCACCAGGACGCCCATGAGATGCGTGCCCTCTCTCAACCTTGGCCATTCAACCAGCAGTGCCTGCAGAGGCTGTCCTGGGCACTTGACATTGCTCCACCCGGACGTGGCTAAGCACCGGGGACAGGGCACAGCGTTCTTCCTGTGCTTCTCTCTCCCTGACTCACATGCTTGCATCCCTGGGAAAGGGCAGGGCCTGACAGCAGGTTTGAGCAACCCGGGTGATCCAGCAAGCATTTACTGCGCTGGGTCCTGGGGTTTAGCAACTCCCTTCCCACACCAGGGTCACGGCCACCGCCATCTGGGCCGCCCCACCTGCCCGAGGGCTCTGCCCCAGGAGCTGTCCAAGTGATACTGCCTAATTAGAGTTGATTTGGGAGTGTGTTCATCCAACGCATGCTTCTTCTTGGGCATCTACTCTGTGGCCCTCCCTGGTACCAGCAGTGGGGCCATTCCCCAATCAGGAGGCTGCTCTCTTGGGGGCTGGACACCCACGTCTGTGCTCCCCAGTGAAACGTGGGAACTGCAGTGTTCTGAGAACGGCCCATCCCAAACGTGGGCGCTCTAGCGATGACAAGCAGGGGATTTTACCCATCTCTAAAACTAAGGGGAAACGTTAATTTCAGGTTTATTTTACCCTACTTCATAACCGAATATGTGTTCACAATAAATAAAACGTGATAACCAAGTGTGATTTATTGTAGGGCTGCTCATCCCTCCCGTTGGCTGGGTCAGAGTTTAATGACCGTTTCGAGGCTGGCAATTAGCTCAAACAGCAAACCTGGGCACCATCTTCCCATGAAAGAAAGCCCCGGTACCCATCATACTTGTCGCAGCCTGTAACAGGGGCAGGTCAGAGGTGAGGAAGCGGGCCTGGGCGGAGCTGTGTCGAAGCCCGGGGCAGGCGTAAGTGCAGTGCTCCCGTCAGCCCTGATCAGGGACTGTGTTTAAAGCCAGCCTTGCTCAATCTGTTGGCACACCGGCGTCAACCCTCTTGACCCGGCCCTGGTGGGCGGTGGCCACAGGGGTGTGGCACCCCCAGCTGGTTGAAATGGGTGTCCCCTGGCCATGAAACCAACAACCAGCAGCTTATCTTTGTTTACAATTTTGTTCACTGTGAATCATCTAGCATTAATTGTGATTTTTAGAAGGATCACACTAAGACATTATTGGTCTTGATTACTGATGTCACACCTCCTCCTCCCCCCTCTTTTTTTTAAAATTATTTATTTATTTATTTGACAGAGAGAGAGAGAGTGAGAGCAGGAACACAAGCAGGGGGAGTGGGAGAGGGAGAAGCAGGCTTCCCGCCGAGCAGGGAGCGCAATGCGGGGCTCGATTCCAAGACCCTGGGATCATGACTTGAGCTGAAGGCAGACGCTTAATGACTGAGTCACCCAGGCGCCCCTCCTCCCCCCTCTTAAATTTTGCACCAGGGTGAGTCCTCACCCGGCTCACCCTTGCCCGGGCTCTGGAGGCAGAGGGTGCGGGGTCCCTCTGTTGCAGGCCGCAGATGCCCTCCGCCCCCTGGCTCTGTGAACACCAGCAGGGGGGATGGCGGACGGGGCTGTGCCCAGTGACTCACGTGAATGCCCTCGGTTTCCTCGAGGAAGCGCGCGCTCACGGACACAAGGGCATCTTCCGGCCACTCGTGGAACCAGTTGATGGCCGTGCAGTTGACGACGGCAGGGAATTTCCTTGCCCGCACGCGCAGGATGGAGCCCACGGGAGAGAAACACAAGATCACCTGGAGGCGGGACACAGAGGAGCTGCTCATGGGGATGGTGGTGCTGAGGGCCAGGCTCACTTGAGCAGAGAGCTCGATCGGGAGGAAAGCTCCCTGTTGTCTGTTTCCACATGTCTGTGCACCCCTGCTTCTGGGTTTCCCTCGCAACCGATGAACGTTCCACTGACTTCACGCCTTTCGTGAGAGATGGGGGAGTGCAGAGGGCACCCCAAGCCTTCTGATGTGGGCCCCGCAAGAGGGGGAAGAGAAAGGCCGAGTGAAGGATAGAGTGGGCAGATGAGGCCCGAGGACAGGGAAGGGTACAATCCCTTCAGCAGGGCCGGTTCCCAGGGACATGGGACTCATCCCCAGACAGCCTGGGACTCCCCAGGATGCCGTAAAGACGGGGCTCCTACCTTAAGCTGCTTGCGCACTTTCTCAATGAAGAATTTCCAGCATGTTTCCCGAGTGTCAGTCATGCCGAGGGACTTCACTTGTGGTCGCATGGAGGAGATGATGTTCTCCACCTCGTCGTCCGTGAACAGCCCAGGGATCTCCCCCGAGGCCAGCAGGTCATTGATCAGCACCAGAAACTGCTCCTCGGCCACCTGGGAGTCTGTCATCAGGAACACCGAGGGGACGTTCTTCACCGCCGACTTTATGTACTGTGCGCTCAGGTCAACCTGGACCCAAGGAGGACATGCTCAGAGTCTGACAGCCACCCAGGAAGGGACAGCTGGGGGTCAGCTTTGCAAGGAATATGCAGGGTCTGTAGAATGGGGCCCGGGACCTCGGGCTCACCGAAGCCCACGTGTCCGTCAGCCGACCAACGGACAGACAAGATGCGGTCTCTCCATAGGATGGATTACTATTCAGGCTTACACCGGAAGGACATCCTGACCCATGCTATACAACAGGGCTGGGCCTGGAGGACGTGATGCCGAGTGACGTCAACCAGTCTCCAAACGACAGATGCCGTAGGAGTCCACTCAGGTGAGGCCCCTGGAGCAGCCGGACCAGTGGGGGGTGGGCGCCAGGGGCTGGGGGCGGAGGTGGGGCTAATGTGGGCAGATGAAGGAGCTCTGGAGACCGGGGGTGGTGGTGGTGGTTATAAAACACTGTGAACATATGTAACGTCACTGACCTGCATAGTTACAACAGTAAATTTTGGGTGAGGTCCGTTTTACTACCAAGAAAAGAAAAAGGAAAAAAACACAAAACCTCAGAGACCCTAGAAGAGGTCTCGAATAAACGCACCACGGGCTCGGGTCTGGAGCTGGTCCGGGACTGAGGACCCTGCTCTGAGCAATCCCTACAGTCAGCGCGAGGCCCGTCCCGTCCCTGATAGGATTTAAACGAACAGCTCACAGAATAGCTGCATGGTCGTGCTGGAAGACTACATGAAGGAGAACAGTAAAAAGGAAAAAAGATGAGCACATCACACAGCAGGACGGAGAGTTGCTCTTCTCCAAGAATATGGCAGCGCACACGCACCAAGTGTAGGTTTGTGCGCACACCGTCTGGTGCAGCCGTCCAAGGAGTAACGTGCATGTGCGGGGCTTGATGACTTGATCTCTGTAATGTCTGAGTTTCCCGTAAGCTCTGTGGGCCCTGTTTGTTTTCCCTTGCCCACCCCCATAGTCCCACCTTCCTAGGCTACCGGGCCTGCCCTGGGGTCTCCACCTGCCACCTCCCAGCACTTCCCAACCCCCCAACACGTCCTTCCTCTCCCCCAGATTCCTCGGACGCCCCCATACACGGAGTGGCGTTCGTGACGCGGGTTCCTCCTGGCCCTTGTGACTTGGCTGCCCTCGGCCCCCAGCCCAGTTCTGTCCCGTCCTCATTTCCTGCCTGGTGGGGGGCACCACCCTGCTGGTCCCTGCTGCAGGTGCGGACATCACGTCAGCTCCGAAAGCTCAGATCCCGTTGAGAAGGAGGTCAATGATCACCTGCATCCAGGTGGATCTAGGGATCGGTGGTGATGGAGGGGGGCACAAGCTCCCATCTCTGGCTGGGAGGTCCCTGGAGCTGCTTATTAGACCATGGGCTGGCCCGGGGAGTGCAGGGTGTGGGGCGCCAGCCAAGCCCTGTCTCCACACAGTCCCCCTGCACAGGCAGAGCCCTCGAGGCCACCCCTAGACTTGGGCCTCTCTCTCCCACCTCACTACACTGTCCAGTCCCAGCCTTCACGGGGTCACTGAGTTCTCCCACACCTTCCTACTGGTCACCGCGCACCACTCTCTCTGGTCCTCCAACCACCCTTCACTTGGTCCTCTCTGCTCAAACACTTGACGGCATCTCATTTTCTGGGGACCAAGGCCAGGATTTTCCACAAGGCTCAAGCCGTCCCTCGGGGGGCAGTTCCTGACCCCTTTCCTGCCGCATCCCTGACCCCCCCGGGGGCGTCCACAGCTTATGCCACAGACCATAGAACAAGGTCACGTCACTAACAGCACGGTGCAAGGCCCATTAGCCCGCTTTGTCTCCTTCCTTCCTTCTGAACCCACAGCAGCTGCTTCATCAGGGACAGGGAATGGTTAGCACAAAACAGCTCCGTGTGGGTAGTGAGAGGACAGGCCTCGGCGTGGCTGCAGCCGATGCCTACGAGTAGAATAACACTGCTCAGACTCAACACCCACAACTGACCCTCAAGTGAGGAACCGGGGACAAAATCCGCACAGGGACAGAGCAAGGGACAGGATGCAGTGGTAACATTAACCCATTATGATTTGGTTAATGGACTAGAAACTTCTCAGCAGGGAAAACCCACTGAGACAATACAGCTTAGATGCGAGGGTCCTAGTTGTGCTTGAGCGCAGAGCGCACTCGGGAAATCAGTGTGAACTAACATGACTGGCTAAGCTGAGGGCCGATTGGGGCAGGAGGCAGCGTCTGGGAGAACCCACGAGGGAGACCCTTCCCTTAAGGCGGGGACTTAAAAAAACACATTGGCTAGTCCTCTGATAGAGCAGAATCCATCGGGGACAATGACAACCAGGAGCCAGATGCGGGTCCAGAGGTTGCAGTCCCTGGCTCAGCCCACCTGGTGTTGCTGGCGGGGCACTGTCCCCACTGTCCTTCCTGGGTTCTTGGCCAGCAGACCACCTCCTCCCACAGAGGATCCAGGATGCTGTGCCCTGGTGGGGCTCCAGACCGCCCCACTAGAGCTGCCCGCCCGTGGCTGCCGGGGGGCCCTGTGTGGTGGGGAGGGTCTCGCCGGGTCGGGCACCGTCCTGGCCTGCAGAAGCAGCCCCGGGCACCGACGCAAAGAGAGACGTGCTCGTGGAATGTGGTCGAATCAATCTCCGCTCCAATCTGAAGCGCTACGATGATTTGTTCTGGGCTAATCATGTTTGACGAGCATACAGTTCCCTGACAGAGCAAATTTTCGGGAAAAAGAAATCAATAAAAAGCCTCGGCGGCATATCTTGGGGATGGGAGACCTGTTTACGCTAATGTTTATTTAATTAACTCAAAAAGCAGCCTTCCCGAATCCAAGTTAGTCATTAGAGACCCAGTAACAGCCCTGAATTATTTAATCTGGCGAACGGGGAGCGACTCAGAGCAGCCCTGTGACCGGGGGCAAGAACCAGGGCCTTTGCTCTTGTCTGTGCTGTCACTGCGGACCCCAGCCCAGCGGGAACGGAGACCCACACATCCTCTTGCCTTTGCCACGTGGACCTGGGCACTGCCTGAAACGCGTCCTGGCCCTTACTTTATACGACGAGGACCCTGCGGTGACATTCACTTTCTGTGTGCCGGACATGTGAGTGGTCAGAGTTTTCTCTACAACCGCCGCCTCCCCCCTGCCCCCAGCCAAGGGCGGCTTGTCAGAAAGCCACGTCTCACCTTGAGGTCAGGGATCCCGTAGCCCTTCTTGAGGGTGATCTGGAACACGTCCAGTGCACTGATGTAGGCGGCCAGGCGTGAGAGGCTCTGCTTGCCGCTGCCGCCCACACCCACCAGCAGGGCATTCCCACGGGGCAACTCCAGGATGCGGTTGATCCTGCAGATGTGAGCCACCGCATCTTCAAACAGCACCTGCGGAGGCCAGAGAGACACCTCAGCATCCCAGCGCACCTGGACTCAGCTCCTTCCACGGCACAGACTCTCCTCTCAGACCCGGCGGTGTTTGCTGTGAATCATGCCACCCCAGAGCGCCATTAAGGGGTTCATAATGAGAAAGGACAGGAAACCTGGGTCCCAGCCCCTTGCCCATGCTGTCAGCTTGAACACTACTCACCAAGTTCATGACTGCGTTGACTTCATTGTAACTGTCTAGGACGTCCGCTAGGAGCTTGTTCAGATGAGCCAGGTTGATTACCGAGAGGTATTTGGGCTCGCCGATCCCGTGAGAAAAGTGGCAGAAGAGATTTGGTTTGGCAAATAGGAGCTCATCCCCAAGATCCTAGAAATAAGAGGTAAGGCACTTCTGTTGTTGGCCACCACGGGCACAAAGGTCATTAGTGGTAGCCCTGGCACCTTGCCACATTGGCCCCAGGTACCACGTCTTCGTGGGCCCAAACCACTGCTGCCAGGGCTTGCTCTGCTGCCAGAAATCCCTGGTAGGATGGTCCCATGCCCATCACATCAAGAGAAAGAAATGAATCTGCCAAGAAAGCCCAGGACGTACCAGCAGAGCACATTGACCCAACCAGGCCTTTCTCTACCCCAAATGGATGGATGGAGGTCATCCCATCCTGACCTACTGAGGAGTCAATCCCTTCTCCCTCAGATGCACACTCACTTGACAGAGTCAATTCTTGGGACCCAGTGTGGTCCTTCCCATCCTCACGTGAGGGCCCTTCCAAGAGGGCTGGCCTTATCATTGACCCCAGAGACTCTGCCCTCTTGGAGCCTCTCTGGGCTCATCAGAGGGACTTGGTGGCTTGACTTACATCAAAGAATTTCTTGGTGGAAGCAATGGTGACCCTGCGCAATGTTTCTTGGTCTTTCTCGTCAACCATTTTGTCCCCATACACCCTCTCAGCTTCGTGCAGCCAGAGGCGGACTAGGTCAAGCGGTATTCTCAGGATCTCCACTGTGGAGAATAAGAGTCCCTGCCCCAGACACAGGTGGTCAGCGTCTTTAGCTGCGCTATGAAGGCCAGCCAAGTGCTGTTCACAGATGAAGCAAGAGAGTGGTCACTTGCCCGGACAGTGATCTGCCAAGCCAGGGAAGCCACTGATGGCCAAGGCCATGCAAATCCTGGAGGCTGGAGGGTGTGTCAAGGAGAGAGATGTAGGGGGGAGTTCTCACAAGACAGAGCCAGGGGTTTCATTCTCTAAGGGCGTAGGTAGTGGAGAAGGGACAAGGGAGTATGACCATGGCGGGGAGCCAGACTATTGAAGGCCACAGAGCAGCGGGTTCCGAGCTGGGCTTTGCAGCAAGCCTGCCCATGTCTGGTCCTGCTCAGCCATTTACTGACCAAGTGCCCTGGACACCTTCAATAGGTTCTTATTGAGGGTCTGCTGTTTTCCAGGCTTTCCCTGGGACTCTGGGATCACAGCAACAAGGTAGGCCCTGCCTTCATGGAGTCCACATTCTAGTGGGAGATGCAACCAGGCAAAGGTAATTACGCATTGTGATGTGGGCTATGAGTGACATAATTGGGGGCAGCGAGATAGCATAGAGATGAGGAGGGGCCTCTAGAGGGCATGGCATTAGCTGAGCATGCCTTAACCTCCCGGAGTCTTAGATTCCCCTTCTCTAACAGGTGGATATAGGAGCACGTTACGTGTATTTTGGAGGAGAAGATGGGAGTGTAAGTGGCCAAACCTGGTGCCTGGCTCCAACTAAACAGTCAAAAAATAAGAGAAAATATCATCACTGTCATCATCACCACCATCACTGTCATCACCATCGTCATCATCACCATCATCATCACTATCACCATCACCATCATTATCACCACCACTGATATCATCACCATCATCATTGCCATCATCATCACCATCACCGACATCATCACCAGCATCACCAGCATCATCACCACTGACATCATCACCATCACCATCATCATCACCATTATCATCATTACCACCATCACCACCATCACCATCATCATTATCACCATCTTTCTGACATCATCACCATCATCATCGCCACCATCACCATCATCGCCATCATCACCACCATCATTATTGCAGTCATTATCACCATCACTATTGTCAGTCCATACATCACTGTGCTTTCCCTCCTGAGAGCAGCAGAGGAGGAGAGCACCTATGATCAGGGACATGGCCCATAACAGGCTAGAAGAGCAGTACCTGGAAAATATTGGAGAGATCCCGGAGATTGAAGACATAGTGAAATTTAATGGCCGTGGGAAGAAATGTTGCAGTGACTTTCTGATGCAGGGCTGTTACAGGAAAGAGATACATCGATTCTTAGGTGCTCTTAATGGCCTCAGAAAGTGCAGAGCTTAAGGTATAGTTTCTAAGGCAAATGGACTATGAGATAGTGACAATTTAAGTAAGAAATCTGCGCAGCTGTCAAGGGGGGAGGTTTGCTGCTCTACTCACATGTAAATCATTTCTGTACACTGAATTTCCTACCCCCTGCCTTCCCCTCAAGCAATTGTATTTCAGAATATCTCCTGCTGAAACATAGCATCATTTAAAAATATTGATTTGAAAGTATAAATAAAATATTTACCAGGGGAAACTATGAAGAAGCCATCAGCCCCATAAAGCAGTAGGCTGTGCCCACAGAAGGGGGGGATGAGGCTGGTCAGCTTACCCAGGGCCGAGGCCACGAGCTGGCTGCTCATCCTCTGAACCACCATGGGGGCCGAGCGGAAGGCCAGGTGCTGGGCCAAGATTGTGTTGTAGATGGTGGTGAGGGCCTCCTGGCCCGGGAAGCTCACAGCAAACACACAGAAATGGCGCTGTCCGGAACAACACAAACCCCCATCAGGCAGCCCGCAGGGACCAGCTTGTGGCCGGGGCTGCCTTCTGGGGGAGCAGACTCTGTCCACCGCCCCAGTATCTTGTGGGCATGGTCAGAATGGACAGCTGTCCTCCTTGTGCCTTACATGTGCTAAAACCCCATCAAATATTGAGCATATCCGAAACTGCCAAATCCACGCGTCATGCTCTCAAGCAAAATTTTGGTGGAGGCAAAAGAGTGTCTCAGGGCACAGGCCTGGTTTTCTATTCTAGGTCTCCATCTGCTTAGATACTTCAGAGGGGAGGTCCTGCCTGGGTGGGGTCGTAGATATAATCCAGGATATCCTGTGACATCTGAGTTTCAGATACACAACAAGTCATTGTTTTCGGTACAAGTGTGTCCCAAATATTGTACAGGACATGCTTACACTAGGCAAGTATTTGTCGTTGATCTGAAATTCACATTTGACTGGCCCCCCGTATTTGCATTTGCTAACTGGGGCGGCCCTGTGGGGTCTGAGGGAGGGCTGGCTCACATCTCGTTGCCCCGGGGAATTCCCTGACGCACGCATGCTGCAAGGTGAGGGAATTCTCCAGAGAATGTCGGCCCGCAGCCCTGACAACACCCCAAATCAATGCTTTTATTTTCTTGTGCCAAAGTGAGCCTCAAACCCACAGTGGCTGGCTAACCAGAGTTTGATCTCTGCCTACCTGGAGTCTGGGATCGATGGTGAAGGATCCGGAGGTGGGGTTCATGCAAGCCACGTACTGGCAGTTATGGATGTCCTTCAACGTCAGCTTCTGTCTGTCATACCTGCACGCGGGAGACGGGCGCTACGTCGTGCCGCCGGCCTGGAGGAGCCATCCCCGGGCCCCCCAGCCCACCCCCAATCATTTCTTGCATGTGCAGATAAAAAAAAACACCTTAATAACTATCGCTTACAGGTGAAGCGGCCAATTTTGCTTCATGTTTTCAAGAAAAATTTTGAAACAGGAGGCATCGGAGTGGCTCAGGGTGCAGGCGTGAGCTCAGATTCCAGCTCCTCGAGGGGGGCCGCCCTGCACCGCTTTCAGTGCCCGCTTACCCCGTGGCCTGGCTCTGTCACATCCCCTGGGGAGCGGTCCCTGACACCCTGTCCACACATTACCTGCCCCTGCTCCATTCTAACCTTCCTGGCTTCCTACTACCTGTGAGCCCAGCGTGGTGGAGCAGGGACAGGGCAAGTGATGGACGTGGGTGGGCTTGACCCTTGTGAAGCCCTCTCTGCCTCTAGTTCTCGGCAGCAAGGGGTGGGCTTCATGCCTCCACGGTCTGATTTCCGATGGGAGCTCTTGGGTTCCTTCGGTCTCAAAACCCCCAGGTTTGGCCTGGGCCACTGGCCAGGTCGTTACAGGACCCTTGTTTCAGACACACTTAGGTTAACTGCCCTGAATATTCTTTTGGTCTGTCCGAACCGCACCTGTAAACATGCCACCGGAAGCTTTCTGCTGCCTGCGGGAGGCTTCTCGGGCGAGCAAAGGTCTTGAGGTCTGGCTGTAGCTGCCCTGCGCGCCCTCTCCCTCTGGCTCTCACACTCCAGCCACGTTGGGTCCTCCTTGTGCCATGCTTCCCCCCCCGCCACCCTCCACAGGGCCTTTGCATGTGGCATTTGCTCTGCCCAGGATGCTCTCCCTCCCAAGTCCGTCCCATGACCGGTCCTGACTCTGCCTCGAGCTTTCAGCTGCAGGGCAGCCTCCCCAGGCCTGTCTCTGTCCCAGCCGGGGGACTGCTCTGGGGCCGCACTGGGGGGCTCGCTCAGAGCTCCCCTTGCCTGTCCAACTGCACCTCTTTGTCTCCCCTGCCAGAGGGACCCTCGATGGGAGAGGGACCTGTCTGTCCTCCCTCCGTGGGTGCTCTTGGCCACGGCTGCCTGCCCAGGGCCTAGCAGATGGATGTAGGGGGAGATCTGATACACCCCTCCAGCCCTGAGGCTCCACCCTGGTGGTGTGTGTCACGGTCCTGCCCCTCCCCGGGCCCCCCTCCCTGCCCACTCACCAGTGCCCGTGGTCCATGTGCTGCCGGATGAGCGTGTGGGGGGCCACTGTCCCATACTTGTCCACCTCGGGCATGTTCATGTCGTCAATGAAGTAGATCAGCTTCTTGGTGCCTGGGGGGCCATAGTTCCTACCGGATTTCTTCTCCAGTGGCTTCTCAAGAACCCCTAGAGAAGGGAGCTGGTTGGCTACCACCATGCCTGGTACATCCTGCTGGGAGGTCCTGCTGGGCTCAGGGTCCCCAGCACCAGAGGCCGTGGCCAAGGGAGTGGCCCTGGAGGGGGCACCGAGGATGGGGGGACTTCGACTCCATCACCCCCAGGAACAAAGGAGTGAGCCGTGGGCGTGGAGGGTCCAAGGCAAAGGTGGCAGGAACCTTGCAGCTGGACAACCTCGGGGCCACCTCAGACCGGTTATGGCAGGGGCTCTCGCAAGATCTGCCCAGGAGCTCCTACTCCCATCCCCCCTACTCTGTGGCTAGAGGCCAGTGGAAGGAGTATGGCAAGAGAAGAGGACCTTGGCCAGTCCCTGGGTCTTTGGTGAAAAGGGGTCATGGGGAATGTGGAGGCTGGGGGGCAGCCATGTGGGATGAGCATGATTGGGGGTGTCCAGACTGGGCTATCTGGACCCACCCCGGTCCTTGACCCACCCTGCACCCCTGCTCCTGGCCCCAGCCCCACCCTGTACCCTGGCCTACCCCCCCACCTTGCACCCCTGCTCCTGCCCCTGGCCCCCACTGTAGTTCTGCTCTTGGCTCCGGCCCCACCCTCCATCCCAGCCTGCCCCCCACCCTGCACCCCTGCTCTCGGCTGCGGCCCCCACCCTGCAGCATGGCTGAGGTCGTGTAGAAGTTGAAGGGCACAGCCTGAACTAGGTAGTCGTCGGTGTTGAGGCTCTGCAGCTTGTCCCCCATCAGCACGGACTTGCCCGTGCCCGCGTTCCCCACCAGCATCAATGGCCACGACTTCTCCATGAGCAGGTCCATGAAGTAGCGGATTCGGATGGTTTCTGTGGTGTGCACCAGAGAGGCCTGGGGGTGGGGAGCAGAAGGACAGGACACACTGAGCCTCCGCTTTCCCCCTTCCAACTGACTTGCAGACCTGAACAGTTTGTTCAATCTCCAGGTTTACTTAGAAGGTCCTGCTGTTGAAAATTGTTTGCATCTGGTCGTCCGTCATGAAGCCTGAGACAGGACGGGGAGTCCTGCTCCTAAGTCATCAGTAAACTGTCACCTGTCCGGGGCAGTTACCTGCAGTGGGACGTCCAGGTCCAGCTCAAAGGCAGGCACTTTTTCTGTCCACGGCAGGAACTTTTTAGTGTCAGGATCTATGTAGTAGTCGAAGATCGTTCCCTGCGAGGGGAACTTGATCGTTTTAAATTCATTGATCCACCATTTGCTGAACTCGACTCGATAATCTACAAGCTGTTGAAGAACAAGAACAACAAGCAGGGCCCAGTTGGGGGCGGCCAGAGACCTCACGTGGGCGGCGGGCTCCCCCGTGGCCGGCTGCTCACCTGGTCCTGGAACATGGCTCCCCCGAAAGCCCAGAAGCAGGCAAACACAAAGTAGAGCTCGTACAGCTCTTTGGGGGAGTCGGGTGGCGCGTTCTTCTCTGTGAGGAGGCACTCGAGCAGGTACAGGATCATCTGGGTGACCGTGATCTCCGGTATGGGCGTGATCTTCTTAAACCCAAAGCGCAACTTATCCAGGCACGTGGGCAGGTACTTGTCGAAGAGGATCATCAGGTTGGCCTTCTCAGACTGCACCTTGCGCCTCTCAATCCAGCTGCTCACCACCCTGGGGAAGACGGGGAGGCACTGGGTGCTGGGACCACCATGTTGGGTCTGCCTGGCAACCCTCCCCTTGCTGAACACCCCTGGTGTCTCTAAGTGATTCTGGTGATAGGGCCAGACGCAGAGCTTCCGAGAGTCTGATGAGGGTGCTGGGGCTGTGGGGGTGTGCTCTTTCTCTGGCATTCTAGCTATGCCATAAGCTTAGAACAACTGGGAACCACCTTTGCTACCCCAAATGAAGCCAATGCTGAGGGCAGCAGAGCTGGACATAGGGGAAGAGAAAAATCCCATGACACATCATCAGGGTGGGAGGGGGAGAGAAGGGCGAGAAAGGGAGAGGAACAGGGACCTCTCATTACATCATCTGAATTCCTGGATCCAGCCATGCCTGAAGCAGCTTTGGTGAATTGAGCCAATTCTTTTTTTTTTTTTGCTTTAGCTAGTTTGAGTTGAATTTGTCACATTCCATGGAAGAGTCCAAACTAATGCAATAGGTAATCCTCGAGGAGCCATGTTGGACTGTCGGGCGCCCAGCTGCCTCTGGAGTGGGCTGCCCAGAAGTGGCCCCCCCATAAGGGTGAGGGCACAGACTCTGGGGCCTGCTGTCTGGGCTTGAATCGACTCCACTGTGGCCAACAGCGGCTTGGGCGAGTTACTCAACACGTCATCTATAAGTGTGAGTGACAACAATGACTCCCATTTTGAAGGACCACCTGGGCTGATATTTTTAAAGCCCACAGAAGGGAGCCTGGCCCACCATGAGTGCTGCATGAGTGCCTGCTAAAAGCATAAATGGTGTCCGGCTCCCTCAGGGGTCAGTGAGCGTGTCATTCCCAGGACGGCCCGAGCCGAAGCAGGAAGCTCGCGTCGCCACCCACAGCCAGAGGACATGCCTCTCCGTGAGCGAGCCCTCACGCTGGAGGCTCCAATCCTTACTGTGCTCTATCAGGACAGAGAACCGAGAGCTCAGACCTCTGCCCCATCACGCCCTGGACTGTCCACAGTAACAGAGTCATCCTTTCCACAGTCTGCGTCTGCAGGCAAAGCGTGGTAAGCCCTGTGCCTGCAACGGTTAGGACCTGCCCTCCGAATAGAGCAGGTCTTCAGAGTGGAGCCTGGTTTGCGAATCTGCACAGACTGCTGTATTTGCCCTCTCTCCTGAAGGTGTTTATGTCAAATTAAAAATGTTGCCTTGGTTAGAGTCGTCTAGGGCATGCTGGCTTTGATGGGAAATGCAAGCCCAGGGGGACACACACACTTGGGAGGACGAGCCGGCCTGGCTCCTGCCCGGCCCCCAGAGGCAGCCTCCTTTCACTTCCCACTCTGGGATGTGCCCCGTGGTCTCCTGGCCTCGAGTCACTGCTGCCCCTGGGGGAGGGCTGCCTCCTTCCCGGGGGGCTCTGTGCCCCCAAGTGCCACACGATCCCCGCCCCCTCCTGGTGCCCTGTGTCCACAGCTCCTGCCTTGCCTGCCCACCCCGAAAACTCTCACATGTGGTGATAGTGGGCAGAATGATGACTCCCAAAAGACAGGTCCACTGAGACTGGGAAATGTGACCTTATTTGGAAAAGGGTCTTTGCAGACAGACATAGTCAAGGTAAGGATCTCAAATGAGATCGTCCTGCATTAGGGTGGGCCCCAGTCCAATGACTGTCCCTACAAGAAGAGGGGACTGAGGGAAGACCTCAAGAGACACAGAATGGTGGCCGTGTAGAGGCAGATGCAGGGATCGGGGGATGCATCCAGAAGTCAAGGGACGCCAAGGATGCCCCGGAGCCACCAGAAGCCAGGAGAGAGGGCCAGAAGAGAGACCTGGGACACGTTCTCCCTTGGGGCCTCTGGGAGGAACCAGCCATGCCCACACTTAGATTGTGGACTTTGGGTCCCCAGAATCAATGCCACATCTTCTATTTCTTAAGATTTCAAACATTTCTCACATCTTCCCTTCATCTCTGTCCCCAGGGGCCACCCATGGTTCCGTATGGGCAGGCTGGTCCTCGCCTGCCCCTTCCTGCCAAGAGCATCTTCGGGCTTCATGCTCCACCCACAAACACCTAACCACCGCCCGGACCCCGCAACCTCCCACTCTCACCTCCCCCACCGCCGCCCATGCCCCATCCAGGCTGGTTCTCGCCTGGCATGCTCCCTGCAGTTTTCGTCCTCCTGGAAAACCCCTCTCCCGCCAGGTGTCAGCCCTAAGTCTGCCTCCTCTCGGGAAGACTGCCCATCTCGGTGACAGGCCCGGACCCTCCTCCGTCCCCCTCAGCGTGCCCGCTCTCATCGCCATGCCTCGCCCCCACAGTCACGGGGCTGTCTCGCATCCTGTCACTGCTGTGACCTGGTGCGTGGGGAGCACCACGTCATATTTCCCGAAGGCCTGGATGCACACCCACACAGGCGACTCTGAAACGCCCCCAGCCCCATCTTCCTCCGCCAGTTTGGACCAGGAAAACGAAAACCCAACTCACGGGTTCCACCCCAGATCTGCGGGGTTGATGTAAAGAATGCCGGCTCTGGAGACGGTGGCAGGGGTGGCCGTCCTCAGGTGGCTGATCTCGAACACCAGCCTCATGGTGCGGTTTAGGGGGATTCGCTCATTGCTGGCCAGGGTGAGGACCTGGGAAGGGAGGCAGGCCTGTGGGTTTACAGGGGCCACGTGCCATCGTCCTGATGGGTCGTCACACGGACGTGTCTCCGAATGACGAGGAGGAAGTCTGGGACCTGCGCACCTGTGCCCGCCACCAACCAGCTTCTCCCAGCCCAACCTTTCCCAGACATCCTTGACCGCAGTCCCACGTCCGCCCCCGCCCACCCCAGGACAACACACGAGGCTCCCGGATGTGCGCACCATGTAGGACGTCACTGGGATGTTCAGTTTGCTTTCTGAAACCATGATCCCCGCCCCCTTCCCCGGGGATTCTTGAGTTCCCTCTTCCACCCAACTGAGAATCACTTTCTTAAGCTGCTTCTAGATCATTCTGAAGATTGTTTCTGCCTTCCAAGATATGAGATGTTCTGCCATGTTATGTCACATGCCAATTAAGCAAGAATATTCTCTGTATCTGCACCCTTCACCTTCGCTGCTGCCCAAACATATCTCAGATGGGGGCATGTGGAGCTGTGTCCTACGACAAACACATCTTGTGACAGGGAACTTTCCCTTGTTCATAATTTTCTGTGCAGAGTTCCAGACAGACCCTCACTCTTCTGGTTTCAGCCTAGGGCAGGTTCTCTCTGTTGTCTGTGGTGGGTGGTGATGTGTGGCCCTTCCCATGAGCCCCCTGCCCTGCCCTGACCCAGGCCCTGGGGCCATCACTATGGCTTTGGGGGTTAGTTCTGGAATCCAGGAGCCCCTCGAACCTTGTTGTCATCCATCACAGTGTTGAGAGATTCAATCCACATTGGGTCTATGTCTCCATCCAAGACAATCCACTTGGGGCCATCATGAGTGATGTTGGCCAGATCCCGCATTATGGTGGAGAAAAGGCCTGTGAGTGAGCAAGGCTGGTGTGAGCAGGGCTGGTGTGAGCGAG